ATTGATTAATTGCTAATTTTTTGGCAAAATCATTTAATTATTTATTCAAAGAATAAACTTTTGGATGCAATGAAAACATATATTAAATATATTAATTTTAAGTTGGATCAATTTAATATTAAATTTATATATTGAATTTATATTGTCAAAATATATATATTGTCAAAATATCAATTAATTATTTATATATATAATTTTTTTAAATATTTATTTTTCAATTTATGTCTATTTAAACATTGCAATAAAATTTTTAAAATTTCCCTTCACTACCCCCATGCCTAACGGCTAAAATACAAATAAAATTTTTTTCATCAATGTGAAATACGAATCGCGAATAAAATATGGAAAATACATACAGAAATTTCGTTGATTCTGAATTAAACTGCGCAACATGATCGATGAGAATCGAAAGCAGACGAGTTGAAAATAAATTCACCCCTGGGAGAAAAGGAGTGATCAGGCGTCGCAGCAAAGCGGAAAGTATTAACGCGACAATAACAGGGCGCAACGGCGGCGAAAAACCGAATCGCGGAGCGTTTTAAATAATCTCAAATCAGCCAACGTGAAAAACCCGAGCGAAAATGCGTTTTTACGCTCTTAAAACGAATTGCTCACGCATCAGTCTGCTAACTTGAAAAATGCGCGCTCCAAATGTTATACGGGGTGTCCGATATTCATAATTCAACCAATCATTACTTTATTTTATTAATTCTCAGTTTTTGTAGAATTTTAGGGTCTCATAAATATTTTTAATTATCCTGAAAATCGAAATTTTGATCGATGATATTTATTATTATTTATTTATTATTTATTTCTTAAATTTGATTATGAAATAGCAAATGATTAAATTAAAGCAAATGATTAAATAATTAAATTTTCATATACCAATATATTTTTCTGCCTTTATATACTTTGAATAAATCATGTTATACGCTAATTATTAAGAATAATAGATGTTGATATAATTATAAGCACAAATGATTAAAACGATATTAAAATATTAACATATGAACCAAGCTAATTTTTAATTAATTTTATCTTTTTGTTTAATTATTTTACTTTTCATCATCACAGTTTATCTCTATTTGATTTCAGTTATATCCACCCTGTATACATAAAGACTCGTTATCGATGTCACCAGACTTCTAACCATCGAATCCGTAGCATTTTCCGGCGATTTAAATAACGGCCACGTACGCCTGGAATGAACAAAATTCGATGGATAAAGAGAGAGAAAGAGAGAGAGAAAGAGAGAGAATGGGAAAAATGTAACTAGCTTCCACCGATGAATAAATAAAAACGTTCTGATGTAACTGAGTTCTCGTCAACTCTTTGAAGTGCTGGGTACATATAATTGGACTCTATAAATGTTTGTTGAGTTTGTTTTGGTTGTAAATATAGAATTAAAGAGATGGATTTACGTACGTGTGTATCATTATGTATTACTCTCTTTAATAGCTCATTATTTTCCTTTTATCGTTAATTCTAAAATAACGATGGGAAAAAAAATACTTTTTTATTTTATAAAATTAACAAATACTTTTAAGGATATAATTTTTTTACATTTTAATATTCTTCACGAAATATATCTATTATACTCAATATAAGAATCTTTTTTCGACAAATCGAAATTTTTTAATCAACGTATCTCTCACCACATTTTGTTACATTTAAAAAAATATACTCAGAAAATTGAAATCAACTTATTCGATTCACCTTTCTCCAAAATACGATCTATATCGAAAAAAATTTAATTTCACTCCCTTTCAAACCGCACGAATCCCAAACCCAAACTTTTGAAGGATACTGTAACGCGCGGAACCTCGCAAAAATTCAATTCCCTCGTCCGATCATCCGATTACAATTTACATTCACGGGGTACAAAGGGTATCGCTATCGAAACAAAAAAGCAAAACACCATTTTCGCAAAATTAAATCCTCATTTCATTGCAATTCGACAGCCTGATACCCCCACCCCCTATGTATATATATTGTCCATTTAACTCTCTGAAAATACTCTGCTTTCATGGAGGAACAATAGCGGAACAACTGGAGGGAGTGGTGGAATGAAGGCAAATAAATGCAAACAAAAAGAAAACGCTGGGAGTACAATGGCGTTCGATTTTATTGGCCTTCCTCTGGATGCGTGTTACACTCCGGGGAATCGTACGCGTTTTTCCATCCCTCCGTCTATCATAGTTACGGCGTGTGTCTGCTTTTTATGAGCTACCTCTGTCGCCTCGTGGCCGACCATGTTCAAAAACAAAAACCAGATTTGAAGATTAACGGTGAATACACAAAATTTCGGAATCAGTGTCGCTGATTAAAATCATCAACATTCAAGCTTACCATTATAAAAATTTGTGGGGATTCTTCTGCAATGAATTTGTAAAGATAAATGATGGGATTGAAAAGATTTTATCCCCGATGAAGTGTTTTAAATTTTTTAGGGAAGAAATAACATACATATAATGTTTTCAATTGTTGTATGAACATTTTATAAGAATATCGTGTCAAAATTTTGAATTGGAAGTTTATTTAAACTCCCTGTGAATAAAAAAAAATGTGTTGTTTTGTATTAATAATTGTTTCTGTATTAATAATTAAAATAATAATTAAAATTTAATAATTAAAAACTGGAATTTTCGTTATTATTGCAACAAATGAACTATGATGATGATGGAAATGCGTGTAAATAGAAATAAATAGAAGGTATGGAAAGTTTTGAATATCATTGCTAATTTTTTTTAAGATTAATTTAATTAAGATTTGTTTCTTCTTACGAATGAAAATTTTAATCTCATTATACTCATTTATAACTACGTCTAGAAAAAAGATGAAAAAAATTTTTAGAAATCTAATTTTATTTAAGATCAATATTCAAACAAAATTTTCAAATCTATGAATTTTCAATTTAACACTTTGATGTGATATTTTTGTATCAATTCGAACCATTCAGTCATTTTCTCTAAAATTATTTAAATGTTTAATTATGCCACTTTTTCTCTTACTATAACTTTTATTAAAAATTGAATCCTTTATTTAAAAATCAATAAAGATCCTTTATAATCTTGGAAAGGAGGAAGAAGCATTTCCAACCTTTCAGGATAGAAGAGGCATCGCTTTGCAAGTTTAAATTTGCACTTGGCACCTGATCGGCTGACGTGGCAAGGGGTGCAACCCTTAGACATGGGTATAATTCGCCCGATTATTTAATAACTTGGCCTCATGCCTGGCCACGGACCGTCCAACTTGAACCATGAATTCTCCATAATTTCATATATTAAAACGCCTCACGCCGAATCACATTAGTGAATTAGCATGCACTGTCATGCAACAATGTTGAAATTGAAATTCGCTATAGAATCGAGGATATTATGCCATATTAAAATCGTGTGAAATTCGCGATTGAAATAAAGAGATTTAAATTTTGTTCGAAATATTTGAGGTAGGAGGAACTGATGAATATTGATTTATGGAAGTTCGAATTTACACATTGGTTAGGTATTTGTAGATTATTGCACGCAGTGCACAGAGTTAGGGATCACAACGTGATTTAGATTACGAGATCAGAGATTATGGGGAGATACAGATCGTTTCGCGATAAATTACATTATAATCCAGATTATTCTGTGATGTCTCATTCCTTAAGCCATTGTATCGAGTTTGGTTTGGAGATCATGGAGGGGTTAAACAAGAAATTGTGTGTATGAATTATATGATGATGCTTCAATCAAGATTGATGTTTCCTTAAATGATCCTACAAATGTATTCATGAAATTTGAATATCGTACGTGTGATATATTAATAATTATTATTAAGAATTAAACATTGAAGAATTTATCTTTAATTTTTTTCATTCTAAATATCGATGTGCACATTTTTATTATTTATATTCAATTTAAAATTTAATTATTTATTATAAATACACCTTCTACTTTATGAATATTAAAAATAATATTTTTGCTTGATTCGAAATTTCATTTGAAATGAAACCTTTTCACAGCCCTTAACTGTTAATAATTTTCAATCTAAAAACACAGAGTTGACATTTTTCACAATTAAAACTTTCCTTCAATAGGAAACCATAATCCCTTTCACAAGTGTGATTCGATACTAAGACGAGGGATTCTTCTAAACTTTTCCAATAAACTTCATTCATGAACATCCTTTTAAAACTTCCACAAAACAGTATACGACGCAAAGTGTACATTTTCTAAAGACTTTTAAACGAGATCTCTTCATCCCTAATTACAAATATCCCCAACTCCATCGAAATCTTTTTTATCCATTATGTTGAACATAATCAACATAATCAATGATATATAAGTTTCTTCATTTTAATAATGCATCAAGCTTATATATATCGAAAAACTGATAAAATTGGTTACTTGAAATTGACGTGAAGAAAGAATCTAATTATTAATTTGATAAAATCATCGAGGTTCCACGTTGCGCGAAAGAATTGAGAGTCTTCGAGGAACGATTGTTGACGTGGTATTTGCGCAGGTGTATGAAACATCGAATAGCAACATTGTTCTCGGCCTGTTTCATTGTTACGTAGTTGAACAACTCGAGAGTGTGGTTGGCATGCTTGTGGCTTATGCGATAGATCGATTTTGAGGCCTATCAAGGGAGTTATTTCAGTAAGAACTAGGATTAGTTACATGAACATTCACTAGTGATCGATGATTTTGAAACGTCTAGGTTTTGCAAGATTATTGTTAAAGAGTTACTATTAAAATTAATCCTCATATGTGTACTTTGATGTATATTTTTGATGTCGTTCAATTTTCGATTTCATTAATTCTTTATCTTAAAGATTATAATTTTGAAAAGTAATTCATTTTTGAGCGATAGATCATTTATCGTTTATCAAAATTTTATAATAAATATAGAGATGTATATATATATGGAAATTTAAAAATAAATTTGCATTTAATGTGGAATTAATTTAACAAGTTAATGCATGTAGTTATAAAGAAATGCTTTTTTCACAGGTGGAAATGGCGATGTTGAAAATCTGGATCCAGATGTGCAAGACTATACCACTGATGAAGATTATAATGATGTCTTTGATGCAACAACTAACGGGTATGTCAAAATATTCTTCCATTTTTCAATATCAAAGGTATCATATCTATGACAATTTCGAATCAAAAACAATTAAAAAATTATTTAAAAATGATAGCATTCCTTTTCACGACAACGATCCTCAACTTTTTCTATTTTCTTCCTATTCCTTAGAGTATATTTAATATATTTAATCAATATACATCACATATTAATAAATAAATCTATAAATATCAATTGTACAACAAAAAAGAGATATTTGACAAGTACAAGTGTATATCATACCCAATACTTTATCATTTATTTGTAAGAAAATAATTGTTGAGATTTTATGAATCTTGATCTCACTTTGTATTTTCTGTAATAATTCTTATCACCCAAGTTGAGAACCATCATTCTACAAGATTAGTTCCGTGATATCGATATCGTTTGACGTAAGATCGTCGATGGTCGATCCTCCCGATCGAGAATTATCAGTTCGCGAGGAATTACGCGAAGGGGAAGGAAACGAATAAAATTTTCTCTCGGAAATGTAAATGCAAAAAAAAAAAAGAGAGAAACGAAGATCGAAGAAGGGATCATTTCATGGATTCGTATGATGGAAAAGTTGTGCGCAGGGGATGCCGCGGGGTTTAATAAGGAAACGGCTCGATTGGTTCGATTCGAAAGCTAATAATGCTACTTCCCGTGCGTGGTGGAACAGCGAAGGTTGTAGGCATGATTAAATTTGAATTCTCTCCTTCCTTATAATTCGGTCAGGAAGCGTCGATAGAGCCAATCGAAATTTCTACGACTACGAGAGGTGGCTTATCGTCGAATCTTACCGTGTTTTCCTTTAACCAGATTTCATAAATAAAATATTCGCGCGGAAAACGAGGTGGCCTCGATGTTTTCGATTTATTCCTTGAGAATTGAGTGCGCGACGATTATTTAAGAAATAGAATTTCATTCAGATATTTGAGGGTAAAATTCTTATGAATATTTGGAAAAAATATTATTATTATTATTTATTATTATATTTTTTTATTAATCGGTTTGGAAAAATTCTTTTCTAAATAAAAAAAAAATATAAAATAAAAATATACTAAATTTTCGTAACGATACGAAATATAAAAAAATTGCTTACGATTTCAAAATATTTTATATTTGAAGATTATAGATCATTCGCATTGTTTTTTTCTGGACTATTATTATATAAAAATTCGATATGCCAATTCAATCGAAAGCTTTTTTTAATTTTACTTTTAAAAACTATTTTTAAAAATTGATTGATTTCAAATTTTTAAAATGTATTTGAAAAATTTAATTTTAATTACCTGTGTAATAATCAAAATATATATTTAAATCTATATTTCTAGTAATATAATTATAAAAGAAATTCATATAATACATATAATTTTTAAAGAAATTCATTTTCTCACCCTCGATAACGATTGACAAATATGAAAATACTAATTTTCAACCATTTTTTAAGATATAAAAATCAGAAAATCAATACCAATAGATATCACGATCTTGGTTAAGGAGAATCATGAGTCGTTTTAAGAACACGTGAATTCCAATTTCTTTTATAAAAACTAATAAAACAAATAAAATAAATTCTTAACTTCGAACAACAACCACATCTCATCTACTACTCCATCAGGCCACGCTCCAAGGCGGTTCGATTTTACACGATAATGTAATGACCGTGGTAATGCGATGAACGTGATTGAAATTACGTGTCGTAACCGATCTAAACTAGAACATTATGGTTACGATATCGTGCGTACACGAGTCGGCGACTTTCAGCCAACTACATTATTCCCGAACGCCACGTGCCTCCATTAATATTGATGTACGCTCTTCCAACCCCTTCCTGCAAACGGTTTGTCGAGTGAACTGACAGATATTGTTGCGACATCCCCGAAAGATTCTGCGGAATCAACTTCTTCCAGGATTAAATCGGTGAATGATAATCATATCAAAATGCATATTCAAACTATCAGATTATCTTTATTGTTTCGAAATTTTGCGAGGGACAGATTTATGTTTTTTCATATACTTATTATGTTCCTCGAGATATATTGTTAAGATCGATATTTTATAGAAATATATAATCGATGCTTGATCTTAGTTTTTCAGATATTCGATGATAATGTATTCGAATATTCGTGTCATCCAATGTTTTGTTTATTAAATTTCAACGTAATCGAAAATTAAATAATTTCCTATTATATGTCTGATTATATGTATTTACCTATATGTCGAAAAAATATTAATTAAATCTAAATATATTTACATTCCGTATCGTTTAATAAAACTAAATCACGCAACTAAATACTCTAATATAAAACTATATCGATACTTTTATATTTTTTGATGCTACTTGAGAACAAGGAATGTAGATCACGATAAAAGATCTCTTCGTTAGAAAAGTAAATACATATAAATACATTTTGTACTTCAAATAGACTCACTGTAACTAAGGCTAATCTTAATTGAAAGTAAGTAAATCTAAATTCAGCCGAGTGAAGGCCTAACTCCGCGATAATCCACGGATACGGTCGTGTTCGATCATTTGCATGGCGACTTTAAAACGTCGTTCCCGAATGGCGGGGATACAAAACCGATCCCTCAAGCGAGGTTAAATGTTGCATTATTTATAGAAACCCTGTGAACGCCTAATCCCTGTCTGAGACGGTCTTCTGACTGCTTAAAGCTGGCAAAGTCGAAGGAAGTGACGTAACACGATGGGCGCGCCCAACTGTTAACGATTCCCCTTTTTCCTTCGCGATGTTTTAACACCTTTTCTCTGCGCCAGGGTGAACTTATAAGCGTGCATCAACCATGGTTGATCTTTGCGTGGGTAACGATCGTCTCTGTTCGTCTCATGATGATTCATCTGATCATTGTTGTCGAAGTTGAACGGAGTTACGAGGATTATTGGTCTCTCGTGATTTTGGTGGTGGAAGGGGATAAAGGGAATAACTTTTGATAGTAATAATTAATCAAATTGTTTTTGCAAGACATAACTTCAATTTATCGATGAATTATCAAGGGAAAACTTTGAAAAATCTATTATGGATTATTGATTTAAATTTATATTAATAAATAATGATTCAATATTAAAATGACTGGAGATTTTATAATATTTAAAAGTTTAGAAAGTTGTTTTAGTTTGAAGTTAAATGTTATAGAAATGATAAGTTTTCATTGTTTTATTTAGTTATAATGTCTATCATTTCGAGATAGATATATATAGTGATATCTTCATTAAACAAAAATTAGTTCTAATTCTAAATCTTTAAAAAGCATATAGATTTTTGAAAAATTTACTTACTTTAAAAATATCATATTCTGAAATTATAAAATGCTAAACAGAATATTTTAATTAGAAAAAAATAAAATGTTCCTGATTAATGATTGATTGATGAATTACAGTTATGTGCGTCTTACAAAAATTATTTGATTAATTATTACTTCGAATTAATGAATATTGTTCAATAAATAAAAATCAGCTCTTTATAAATGTTTATATCGTGACGAAAAAGAAAAAGAATATCGTATAATTACAAATATATCCTCAATCTTCCTATAATTTAATCTTGATTAGAACTGATTTAAATCTAAACGAAATTTAACATTAATTTCAACTAAAGACACTTTTATATCACCATACGAATTTCCAATTAAAGATCCAATTAAGACTCTCCTAGTCATATCCTTTTCACGCATCGCAGAAACATGAAATTTTCATGAAAAAAATGGATACGATAAACCGTCTAACGATCGTGCGACGTGACATGCAAAAGCCGGAAAATTGATCTCCTGTTACATAATTTTCACGCGTTACGCGGCCGTTGTAAAGCACCGTGAAATTTTAACTCGTAGCCGTCGTTTAATAAACGATATTTACGATCACGAGCTCTGTGTGTACGAAAATTTCACGAGTCGAAACCACGTTTCATCATGAACATCCTCGGAATTAATACTTTCCCACTCCGTTATTTATTATCCCTTTCTTCTACATTATTTATTTCTTAGAGAGAAATTAGATATTTATTATTGTTGAACAAAACGAAGTCTCGTTAAATTTTGAAACTCGTATTTAAAAATATAAATTTTCGATACAATTTTATCTTTTCGCCATTTTATAATTATATTTATTTTTCTTTCTATATTAACTTTCGTTTTAATTCTTCTAGATGTGCAACAATTGTATAATTTATTTATATATTCTATCATATTTCGTATAAAATAAATATATAATTTTAACACACAAATTACGCTTCCATTTAAAAATTTTTAGTAATGCGTGATAATAATATTGTATATTTATGATTTATTATTTATATTATATTGTAAATGTACATTTACGATAATATAAATAATACAATTCACAATATATCATATAACATACTGTACAATAATTTGAGCATTAAAATGAAGCATTTATTATATAAAAATAATGTGGCAAATAAATTAATTATTTAAAGTCAGCGTACAATCATGATAATATATATAATATATTATGATATTTTATTTCGATTCGATAAAATATTTATTATTTCAATTTCAACATACATAAATTTTTTCTCCATGTATCCAGCTACGGATGAACTCCTCCGAAATTTCCAAACTCTGAATATAAAACGCCAAATTATCTATATCCATTTTTTCCACGATTTTCACGCGTTTACCACGATTTCGTCATTTAGCAAAGAGAGAGAGAGAAAGCAAGAATCGCGCATCGAATAAACGAGTGACGAAAACAACTCCTCAAAATGCATAGAATTACTTTGCATGATAAACACGCGGAGAAAGTGGCCAAGTCTTTTTCAACCATCCCTCCGCAATTCTTATGGCGAATTTCGTGAGTGCTGTTAATTTTAAACCGTGTCGTTTCGCGAAAACTGAGCGGAATGTCGTTAACGCATGCACCGGTGATTTCAATTTTACGAAATTTTCACGGATGAACTTTTTGTCCTGGCTCTTCCCCCATTCCCTTCGCCTAGTAATTTGATAATCTCTTAATGGCA